CGTCAGTGCTAATTGTCTCTATACTTCGTTCAATCCTGGTAACTAGTGGGTATTGCTTTAATTGTGTGTGATTGCAAAGTCCTGTCATCTGGGTGGGTAAGCAGTGATAAATGAGTTATTTCGTTCTAACCTGTCCATTGTGGTGGTGGATTACACCACACAGTACACAGGCATCTAGCTTTGACCTCCAAGCTCATTAACTGCAACAGTTTTGGATTTTCTTTTTAACTTTTTTATTTTGCTGTTTTCCTTTAAACTGATGCTCTGCAGATGAAGATGAATCACGTGAAACGTTCATCTATGGCTATACCAATCTAAACAAAAACTGCATCAAAGCCAGGTACCAGTCTTCCTCACATGTTGCAAGGATTGATTTTGCTTCAGGTTGTCTGCCTGCTGTGGGAAGCATGTTGGACCTGTTGTTGTGTTGTCCTATTCTCATATTGCTTCTTCAGCAAGCACATCGCTAGTATTTACAGGAACACGTTACTATCGTCTGGTAACCAGACTGTGAAATCAATAAGCAAAGGGTTTCAGTCTTGATTACCATTCAAAGCCAGTTTTAAAACAACTGAGAAGGGAGGGAGCAGAGAGAAGGAAGGATATTAGATGAGAGAGGGAAGGGGTTTGACACGTTTTGAAAGCTGACCGTTCCCCAGGCCCAGGTGAAATGTACCCTCTGATTAGAGCTAAGCAGACTCCAGTCCTTTCGCGTTGCAGATATAGCATTGTGTCCTCTCAGGCTGACCAGTGACTATCCAGTCTGGTCCCAGAATGTGTATCCAAGTATTTTTTCAAAAGGTCTGAGGGTATCTGCCTCTTAGACACTGAATCCAGATCTTCTCCGTCCTCTGGATGAGAAAAATCCACCTCAAATCTACACGCCCTGGTTCTGACCCCTTCTTACCAAAGGGAATAGTGTCTTCCTGTTCACCTCATCTAGACCCCTCATTATTTTCTGGACCTCAATTATGTCTTCCCTTGGTCTGCTCTGTTCCAGAGAAAGCAACGCCCATCCATCCAATCCTTCCTTATAAATAACAGCCTCTAGCCCAGGTAACATCCTGGTGCATTTCCCCTGCACCCTCTCCAGTGCAATCTCAGCCTTCCTATAGTGTGGTGACCAGAACTGCACACAGTACTCCAGCTGTGGCCTCACCAGAGTCCTGTACAGCTCCAACAACAACTTCCTGCTCTTATGATAAAAGCAAAATACTGTGGATGCTGGAAAACTTCAACAAGCATGGAGAATGCTGGGGAGACTCAGTAGGTCTGGCAGTATCTGTGGAGAGAGAAAAATGTTTTGAGTTCAATATGACTCAAAAGCAGAGTAGTTCTGAGCAATTATACCAGACTTGAAATGTTTACTCTGTTTCTCTCTCTCCACAGATGCTGCCAGACCTGCTGAGTTTCTCCAGCACTCTGTGTTTATCTCCCTGCTCTTGTGTTCTATATCTCAGCTCAGTAAGGCAGTAAGCCCATTTTATCAACCAATCCAGCTATGTTCACTGATCTGTGGACATGCACGCCAAGGTCTCTCTGTCCCTCTACGCTACCATTTATCATGTATTCCCTTGCCCTGTTCCTCCCCAAATGCATTGCTTCGCACTGCACTGGATTAAACTTCGTTTGTTACTGTTCTGCCCACATTGACTAGCTCGTCAAACCCAGGCTCAGCTCCCCAGGATTAGTTGGTGCTGAATTCAGGCAGTGGGTGTTCCTGATTTACTCGCAGTCCCTCCCTCCTGGGCATTGCAAGCGTCATGTTTTTTTTTTCTGTCAGTATATGTGTAGCTGTGGTTGTGTGGAAAGTTAAAAGACTTTGCGACTTGAGCAGCAGGAATGTCATTGTTGCCTTGTCTCTAGTTCTGTTTCAGCATATGAAAGCAGCCACAACATTACAGCTGGGGTGAGAGCCCCCAAATCTTTCCCAGAGCAGCTGTCCTCCTCAAACGCCCGCGTGGGATCCATTCCGTTTGTCCGGCCTTGGAGAATTGGTAAGAGGCGAGAGGAGAGCCAGGAACCGCGGGCAAATGATGCATTATTAACAGAGATGATGTTGTTTCATTAATTCATTCATGGGATGTGGGCATCACTGGCAAGGCCAGCATTTATTGCCCATCCCTAATTGAACTGAATGGCGCTCTCAGCCGTTTCAAAGTGGGGTTAAGACTCACCCAATTACTGTGGGTCTGGAGTCATGTGTAGGCCAGACCAGATAAGGATGGCTGATTATATAAAAAAAAAAATTGCTGGGAAAACTCAGCAGGTCTGGCAGCATCTGTGGAGAGAAAGCCGAGTTAATGTTTTGGCTCCAGTGTGCTCTGAAGGATGGTCACAAACCCGAAACCTTAACTCTGCTTTCTGTCTCCACAGATGTGCCAGACCTACAAGTTTCTCCAGCACTTTGTGTTTTGGTTTCTGATACTAGCATCTGCAGATATTTGGTTTTTTTTGCTTAAGCACAGCAGATTTCCTTCCCGAAAGGATATTAGTGAACCAGATAGAGTTCAGAAATATATACATGGTTGCAGTTAAAATTTTTATTGAATTCAGATGTCGCC